CGTGGTCTGGATAGAAGATAAAACCAGCCACAAAATTACCTTAACCCAAAGGCTAATCCAAAGCAAGGCCCTAACTCTCTTCAATTCTATGAAGGCTGAGAGAGGTGAGGAGGCTGCAGAAGAAAAGTTTGAAGCTAGAAGAAGCTGGGTCATGAGGTTTAAGGAAAGAAGCTGTCTCCATAACGTGAAAGTGCAAGGTGAAGCAGCAAGTGCTGATGTAGAAGCTGCAGCAAGTTATCTAGAAGATCTAGCTAAGAAATTGATAAAGATGACCATACTAAACAACAGATTTTCAATGTAAACAAAATAGCCTTATATTGGAAGAAGATGCCATCTAGGACTTTCATAACTAGAGAGGAGAAGTCAATTCCTGGCTTCAAAGCTGCAAAGGACAAGCCGACACTCTAGTTAGGGGCTAAAGCAGCTGGAGACTTCAAGTTGAAGCCAATGCTTATTTACCATCCCAAAAATCCTAGGGCCCTTAAAAATTATGCTAAATCTACTCTGCCTGTGCTCTATAAATAGAACAACAAAGTCTGAATGACAGAACATGTTTACAACATGATTTTCTGACTATTTTGAGCCCACTGTTGAGAACTACCGCTCAGAAAAAAAAAATTCCTTTCAAAATATTACTGCATATTGACAATGCACTTGGTCACCCAAGAGCTCTGATGGAGATGTACGAGATTAATGTTGTTTTCATGTCTGCTAACACAATATCCATTCTACAGCACATGGATCAAGGAGAAATTTTGACTTTTAAGTCGTATTATTTAAGAAATACATTTTGTAAGGCTATAGCTGCCATAGATAGTGATTCCTCTGATGGATCTGGTCAAAGTAAATTGAAAACTTTCTGGAAAGGATTCACTATTCTAGATGCCATGAGGAACAGTCACAGTTCATGGGTGGAGGTCAAAATATCAACATTAACAGGAGTTTAGAAGAAGTTGATTCCAACCTTCATGGATGACTTTGAGGGATTCAAGACTTCAGTGAAGGAAGTAATAGCAGGTGTGGTAGAAATAGCAAGATAACTAGAATTAGAAGTGGAGCCTAAAGATGTGACTGAATTGCTAAAATTTCATGATAATACTTTAACAGATGAGGAGCTGGTTCTTATGGATGAGCAAATAAAGTGGTTTCTTGAGATGGAAACTACTCCTGGTGATGATGCTATGAACATTGTTGAAATGACAACAAATGATTTAGACTATTACATAAACTTAGTTGATAAAGCAGCAGCAAGGTTTGAGAGGATTCATTTCAATTTTCAAAGAAGTTCTACTGTGGGTAAAATGCTATCAAACAGCATCACATGCTACAGAGAAATCCTTCGTGAAAGGAAGAGTCAATCGATGTGGCAAAATTTATTGTTGTCTTATTCTAAGAAATTGCTACAGCCACCCCAACCTTCAGCAACCACCACCTTGATCAGTCATCAGCCATCAACATCAAGGCAAGACTTTCCACCAGCAAAAAGATTATGACTCACTGAAGGCTCAGATGATGGTTAGCATTTTTTAGCAATAAAGTATATTTTAATTAAGGTATGTACATTGTTTTTTAAACATAATTCTATTGTACACTTAATAGACTACAGTATGGTGTAAACATAACTTTTATATGCCCTGGGAAACAAAAAAATTGTGACTCGCTTTATTGCTGTGGTCTGGAACCGAACTTGCAATATCTCCAAAGTATGTCTGTATTCCATCCAGTCAGGTCCATGTGTATAGTCACTTTTTATTTTGTTATAAAAAAGTATTTCCAATAAATAAGTCATTGGTCTTGCAAAATTCCAGCGTCTTTTCTACTACGAAGGCTGTAATTGCCAACTACCAATCCTTCTTCTTTGTTTCCATATTTCGCATTCCAATCACCAGTAATTTTCAATGCATCATGATTGCACAGTTGGTCAATTTCATACTGCAGAAGTTGGTAAAAGTCTTCAATTTCTTCATCTTTGGCCTTAGTAGTTGGTGCGTAAATTTAAATAATAGCTGTATTAACTGGTCTACCTTGTAGGCACATGGATATTATCCTATCACTGACAGTGTTGTACTTCGGGATAGATCTTGAAATGTACTTTTTGACAATGAATGTGACACCATTCCTCTTCAATGTGTCATTCCTGGCATAGTGGACCATATTATTGTCCAATTCAAAATGGTCAATACTAGTCCATTTCAGCTCATCAACACCTAGGATATTGATCTTTATGCGTTCCATTTCATTTTTGATGACTTCCAATTTTCCTAGATTCATACTTTGTACATCCCATGTTCTGATTATTTATGGTTGTTTGCAGCTGTTTTTTTCATTTTGAGTCATGCCACATCAGTAAATTAAGGTCCTGAAAGCTTTACTCCATCCACGTCATTAAGGTCGACTCTTACTTTGAAGAGGCAGCTCTTCCCCAGTCGTATTTTGAGTGCTGGTACAGTGGTTAAGGGCTCTGCTGCAAACCAAGTCGGCAGTACAAATCTACCAGCCGCTCCATGGGAACTCTATAGGGGAGTTCTACTCTGTCCTATGGGGTTGCTGTGAGTCAGAATTGACTCGACAGCAATGGATTTGGTTTTGTTGGTTTTTCCAACCTGAAGGAGTCATCTTCTGGCACTATATCAGACAATGTTCCACTGCTATTATAAGTTTTCACTGGCCAATTTTTTCAGAAGTAGACCACCAGCTCCTTCTTCCTAGTCTGTCTTAATCTGGAATATCTGCTGAAAACTGTCCACCTGGTATTTGAAATACCAATAGCATATCTTCCAGCATTACAACAACACAGAAGCCACCACAGCTAAGACAAACTGACAGACAAGTGAAGGGAGATATGTCTAGCAGTATAATATTTTTAAAAAAAAATAAATAAATCCATAGGCAAAACAAATGTTGAAGTGATTTCCCCCTAAAATTTTTTATTTCCTTTCACCATCAGGTTTCACATCTCTGTATATGAATTAAGGCTATAAGTTAATGTAACTAACTTTTTCTAACAAAAACCCTAGAATTTACACATCCAAGTTAGTATAATCATTTTCAAAGTAATAATGTAGGAATTATCTTCACAGTCTTTGAAATACATTTAGATGTCAACACACACACACAAACATACACAAACACATCATCTGACCCTTTACCATGTATTTGATTTTTGAAGCAAATAAAAGGCATTTGGAGGCATACTGATAAATCAATATGTAAATAAATAGAAAAATGTAACATTGGAATAAGTAGACTGCATCAAAAGGTGACTATTTTGAAAAAGAAACCATATAGGTTTATTCTTCAAAACAAAAAGAAATCCTATTACCTTTCAGTAATACATTTTAGATATCTATTCGTATCCACTGGGTAAGAACATTGATGCATATAACCAACCAACCAACCTATTGCTGTCGAGTTGATTCTGACTCATAGATAAACATAAAGATGTTGAGAATAAAGAAGAAATAACAAATAAACATAAACACAGTTAGATTTCCCAGAAAAGGTAATTTTCATTTCCAATGTTGCCAACCTGGTAGCATTAAAATTATATATTTAGCAGAATTATCATTTTCCTGGACCATTTCAAGTTTTCAGTTCCACTTAAATTATAATTTTGCATAAAATATTCAAGGGCAAAATAATTAAAATGTTTACAATGGAGAAAACGCAATCTGTTCATTCTTTTATATTATTTTTTAATGAATCTCTAATAGTGTTATTATAAATATAACTTTATTATCCTAATAAGCTTCCTAAAGTTTAGCATATCAAGATACATGATATATTTTTTCCTAACCTTACTTCAGCTTTCATTAAACATTTTTCAAATGACTAGAGGAAGATTTTTTTTTTTAATTCATAATTAATATCATAGTTTTTTAAAACTTTTTAATGTTCTGTGAAATGAATCAGTACTATAACTTAAATCTATACCATTGTTATTTGTTACATTTTAGAAATTATTTGAGTTGATTTTTTTTATGAAATATTCTTTACTGAGATTGCTAATCAATGTCTACAATACACTCTTTAATATTGGGCATATAAAAGTCCCGAATATTAATATAGTCTCTAATTTAAGACTTGAATTCCCACAGGAAAATGTAATGAACTGTACTTGTGCATCTATTGTAAAATACATTTTCAGTAAAGGAGATGCAACCACAATGATAGGAAGATGCTAAAACGCCAAAGCTTGGATAGATTTCTTTATCAAAATGTCAAAAGAGAATTACATGAGAAGTTTATTTTTTAAATATTCATACTATCTTATCCCTTAAGTTGCTTAAAGATTTTATTTATTGACAGTGGTACATGAAAATTAGCAAATTCATGTTCTTTCTCCAAAAAGAATAAATGTTTTTGCATTCCAGGAAACTACATGAAAATCCCCTTTTGTCTAATACCAATTTTGTACTATTATTTCATTTATGGAATATGCTGTCAACCGCACAGCATGAGCTTTGGAGAGAAGAAGATTTGCTTTAATAGTTCTTCATTACAGTATGGCCTACAGAATCTTATGATTAGCTGACTTAGGCTTGACATTTGTAAACTACAGTTTCTCCTTGAGAAGAGATAACTTTCTTAACATTTTTAAAATTCACAACAATAATTTTATTCTTATATAGAGTCAGAAATGAAAAACAAGATTTAGTATTTGTCCAAAATTTTAAAAATGTATTATTTCCCTATATTTTCATGTTTTACAATTTCCACTTTCAAGTTGCATTAATAATTTACTAATTTAGAAATTGATGAGAAAATATTTATGATATCTTTTCAGAAAATTATGATTTATTCTTTCAAATATATAATTATTTTTCAAGCTGCCTATGTCAATAAAATTATTTCCAGTTTTGATCAATTTTTTCTATTATAAAAGTTACCAGCTAACAACATAGTTGGTTTACCACCAGACCCAAAGTAAAATTTATCTTAATTTTAAAATTAGTGTTCACTGTAGTTTTATAATACAATATACAAAGTATGTTCCTTACTTCTTCATGTGCCTTATGGCGTTCCTTTTCTGACATTGAAAGAATGCCTTTTTCAGTAATTTTCTCCTTCTGTTCATCCACAGCAAAGTTCAACTAGAAAAAAATAATGACATGAAAGCAGACTCCTATTGACACCTAATAACAACATTTATTCAAACAACTAATTTAACATAATCAAGTAACGTGTTTTTGCTCATCACTTCTCATATTTATCTGAAAATGAACTTCATTTAGACTGAATAGTTTTCAAAGTTCGTTTTATACTTAAACCATTTAAACATTCTGAATTTTTCACTTTCCTTTTAGGTTTACTAAAATATGATTTGGGGGCTACTTAATTCCAGGAATTTGACACTGATGAGTATTTTTTAAAAGCATTTTATTAAAATAAGCATAGCAGGGTTTGTTTGTTTCCTTAAATGAGGCTGATATTTCCTATTAAAATCTTTCATTACCAGTAGGGAATAAATTGGCTACTATTATATCAGAGTAGGAATTCAAAGTTATAAACCAAAAGCAAATGTCAATTCAAACACTCTAGAATGGCGCTAAGTTATTTTTAACATTTCATGACAAAGAATCATGTATCTACCTACCTCACCAGTTACCTCTAGACTGTTCCATTTACAAAGCCAGATAAACCTCTTCTACTGCTGTTAACCCATGTGTTATAAAAAGGTGAATATAGCCCATTGTATATTTCTTTCATAAATAGTCCCTATAGAAACAAAATACTATTTTCAACAAAAAGAAAAACCTAAAATTACACAAAAATATTTTCTGAAAAGATTGACATTAACAGAAAGAAAGCAAGAACTTGATAGAGAACCTTCTGAATTAGAATATTTAACTGTTCTCAAACAATGGACTTGCCATGGGGTATCTAACTGAGGATTAGAAGAAAAGTGAGTGATGATCACGTTTTGTTTCATTTGTTTTGTCCATGTTGTTGTTTTAAATAAGCTGTCTCAGTTGTTTGCCTGGCAAATCATGTTTGAGTAACCTGAATCTTTAATCCATACCTTGACTGAGGACCCACTCCTATACTTGGGATAAAATGTGGGGTTCAATAATATGGCCCCCTCACGCTACCTGTGCATACATGCTAAAAGAATACTATCAGACCTATGAACACTTCATCCTGCGATGCGTGATACAGCTCGGTAAATCAGAGATTCTGTTTTTTGGTAGAAGAGAGAAGTCCAGGAATCTAGAGGTGATTCTGATGCTCACCAAGATAAGGGGCTGACAAAGTTTTCTGAAAAGGGCCAGTGAGGCTTTGCAGAGGAGCCATACAGTCTCTGCGGCAATTACTCCACTCTACTATTGAATCGTGAAACAGACAATATATAAACAAAATGAGCGTTGATGTGCTTTAATAAAACTTTATTTAAAAGAAAAAAAAGATGGCAGGCCAAATTTAGTCAGTGGACCATGGTTTGCCAATTCCTGCCCTAGACTGAGAATCACTGATAAAAGAATTAAAAAAAAGAAAAAGAAAACCATCATGTGTGACTATTCTTAGGATCACCCTCCCCAGGGAATATTTGCTCCTGTGATGAAGTGATACAAAAGAGATAATACTTTAAAAAGTCAAATATCAAACTCAGTTTCTACCCAGAAGCATATGTGTGAATTGTGGCACAACATACTGGTCTCAAGTCTCTATCACAAAGGTTCTTATCTTGAGTGGAGATGAATATAGAGGAGGACAGCTGGAGAATATTTATCTAGACCATCTATTCTTTAAAAAATCCATTTCCAAATGCAAAAACATTCGAGCAAACTTTTGAGAAGAACTGTCCCATAGGGTTTCCAAGGCTGTAATCTTTACAGAATTAAACTGCCACATCTTTCTCCTGCGGAGCAGCTGGTGGGTTTGAACCACTAACCTTTTGGATAGCAGCTGAGCACTTACCCACTGCGCCACCAGGGCTCCTGCAAGAGAAACAAAACAAAACAAAAATAGAGCCACAAAAACTCTTTGGTGCCACAGCAGGTAAGTCAAATTCTAATGTGGTTTCCCAGGGCCATGACATTTAGAACTGCTTCCAAGTAACTCTTTAAAAGGTGAGAATTCTTTACCTTTGAAAGCACCACAGTTGGAAAAATCACCTCCTATCTAATACTCAACTTCTAAAGAAGCATTATGCTAATCTACATAACCTCAGGGAAAAGCATACCAGCATTACTAAAAAGCATAATACACATAGCTGCAAACAGGGAGTGAAGTAAGATATTGAGAAACAGTCAACAAAATACAAGGATAGGACACACACAATGGGCCTTCTCTGGAAACAGATAAACCATTCCAAAAGAGATACATTTTAATGCAATCAGAGAAAATTACTTAAAGTAAAAAGTCAAATTAAGAGATTGCATTTTCACCCTGAGGTATTAATAATATGCAGTGCTAATAGCGTCTCTCCCTCAAGCCAGCAACATGGTAACAATAGTAGGACTCTTCTCTGCTGTCACTTTTGTTGAGGACATCCTGTTTCTTCATTAAGACACAACTAGATGCTTTTGATTTATTATTCTTATCTGAAATATATGAAAATTTTTGTCAATGAATTTAAATTTTTCTAAGGCTGATTTTTCATGTATAAAAAAGGTAGAACTTACAAATTAAAATTAAGAAAAAAAAACAGAAAGCTGGCTAAAATTTGTAGATAATTGTAAAAAGTCAAATTCCCACCAAATGGAGAGAGGAGAAAGCAAGTCACCTTGTTCTAAATGTATCATTCCCTTCTTAAGTGTGAGAAAGCATTCCCAAATATTCATTGTTCATATCAAAATCTAGCTAGCCAAATAGGAAGGTTTAATTCATAATTTTTGTCAGGACTTGCTGCTAAAATTTTTTTAAATGTAAGTAACAGACATTAGCCATCCATGATTACGATAAAGTTGGGCCTGCTCAATATTAGTGGAAAATTTAGGGCGGAGGGGTATTAAAAAAAAGTAGTAACCAGAATACAGCAATAAAGAGACTAGTCAAGTATGTAGCAGAAATGGAAGAAACAAGAAATACAATGGCTCTGTCAAAGATAACTGAACAAAAATGCTTCAAGAACACGATCTTGGTAGAGATACAGAGGATGAAAAGAATTAAGTTTTCCTCAAACAAAATGTATTTCCTCATTACATACTCTCTAAAGTCCTAAAGGGTCATAGTTTAGAAATACATAGTTCTATAGAAGACACATGGTCCCTTGTGACTGTAATAGGAAATGTTCTTAATTTTGAGAAACTCTTCAAACCCAGGAAGCTCTACCATGGACACCCTAGAGAGGAAAGGATGCTCAAGACCTCCTGCTGAGAAATACAGCCACAATAGCAGTGATCTCCTTTCATGTGCCACCTTAATAGTTGATGGCTTTTCTTTATATTTTTAACTCCTCCTCCAAAATATTTTAAAGTATGTATATAAAAGTCATAAAGTCTAATTTTGTAAAAATTTTAACATGACAGTAAGGTAAAATGCAATCCATTTTACTGGAGAAAATAATGCTGAAATGGTCACTTTAGAGCTCAATTATTAGTATCTTTAGAAAAAGAACAGTAATCCAAGCAAGCTGGTCTTTTCCTGTTTACCTAATTCATATTGACATTTCAGATAGATACTAGCCAAGGGGAAAAGGCCTATTAGTCCAACCAAACTCTTACTGCTCTGAACTGTGGTTCCACATTTATCACTTTGTCTGTATTCAGAACATGTAATGATTCAAATGTGAAGTATAAGTTTTCTTATCGGGTCACATTAATAAATCAACATGACCCAATCAGAAAGCTGAATATCTATATTTACCCATTTATCAAAAATCTAACTTTTTGACCAGAAAATATTGATTTTCTAATAAAATCATTTGATGCATATTTTACATGCAGATCAATATAGGCAATGCTGTTTAGCATAAACAACAGGAAAATCAGCCTTCATATATATTGACAAGTTTCCCCAATGGTCTGTTAATATACAAAAGACTGGGACAAATTACTTATTTATATATACAAAACATGGTTATAAAGGCCAGCTGCAGGTATTTTTTTGGAAAGTGCATTTTAATAAGGTCCTATTCAGTTAGGGAACAAATGGGGAAGAAGTAGTTTGCACTACAGAGTTTAGCGCAAGAGCTTTCTCTTTTTCTAACCACGAAATCAATCATTTGTCCAGACTGTGGGAGTCAGAGTTAGTTACTGAAAAGAGCTCCGTATATAAACAAGTCAATAACTCATTGTGTGTTATTGTTGAGCTGAAGAAGTCGGTTTTCAAAAAGCTGCCCCTGCTTCTCTCAGAATGAATGTCACTGTATTCAGGGACTGGGAGAGAGTCCTTTGTTTCCAGCTATTGCTGGCTGCCATTTATGTATGGGAACAGGCGGTGGCTGCTAGAAGAGCAGGAAAAGCCACTCTTCGGTATCATAGATGTCCAGGAAAAACCCTGAATTTTGTCAGCCTAAATCATTTGTATCTGAAAATGCATTAATGGTACAGATAAACAGTGGCCACACAATAAGTATTTGGTAAAAGAATTAACCGATAAAGGAGTCTGTATCATTTTAAATAGAATCAAGCTGATATTTTTGGTTCCCTACCTGTCAACAAAGATGAAACCAAAATTCAGGCAATGGTTTGCAAAGTTCAAATGTACAAAATCAAACTCATAGGCAGATGAATATGTCAAATAAATGCTATCTGCTTCTGCCATAAATATTAAGGTTCATTCTAGGGACTCTCAAATGAGTTTTCAAGGGGTGCGTGTGTGTGTCTGTGTGTGTGTGTGTGTGAACATGCCCACATGCACTCATACGCTTACTTTACTAGTCTCTGCTGAATATAAAAATGAATTCATGAAGAAGATACTATATTTTAGTTAGGATAATAGAATTTCTCTTAAGGAATAATTTTATATACTCAAAACTTGTGATAAGTTAAAGAAATTTCAACTATCTCTGACTTAAAAAATCAATTTAAATATCTTTCAGAATTTGAACTCTACCTAAAATTCATAAAATGTGAATAGTATCATACTGCTATTTATTTCACCTTAATATTTATTAAATACATATTATTTATTCAGAATCAAACTAGAA